CCTGCTGATTTCAAGAAATCACATATGAATATAAGTACATATGTCAATTCAGAATTATATCACACAACATAAAACACTTCGAACTTTAAGTTATGTACCTGACTATACTGATCCGACATTGAAAATTGGTTTAGATTTGATGGGTGAAATGTTTCTTGACTTCAAAACAACTTCTTTATTCTTTCCTGTTAAACAATGTGTCATGTTAGTGAGCTGTAATTCAGCGTACATCCAAAACAATAGAAGAATATAACATAACTAACACTTTGTTTATTTTTCAATCTTAATTTTTGATCGGTTATTCTTCTCCCAAAAGCCTTTTAATCTAGCATTATAAACTCTTTTTGGCCGCATCTTCGTTGGGTCCTTCAAATTGTGTGGTTTATTAGGTGTCTTTTTCTTCTTTGACATTGGCATTTCCTGAGGTTTTTTCCCATTCAATATGACTTCAGATTCGAGTGTTAGTTTCCTTAATGTTTCCAACACGTTTTTTCAGCAAGTTCATACCTTGAGTTAATATGCTGTTCCGGTATGCAAATTTATGAACGTGCGTTCGATATATGAGACAACTCGAACAAGTTGCTGAAGTTTGCGAATCTTTCAAATGTTTATAACCATAATTGTTATATATATCCCTCTTTGCATGAACCGACCACCGCAGTAAAATATATTTATCAGGGATCTTTGTTATATTCTCATGGTTAAGCACTCTTAGAGTGTGAGCACATAATATTCCCATCATTTCAAATTTTTTACAACTGCATGTAATCTCAGAATTACCTTTATCGACCTTAACAATCCACGGTCTGACCGTGTGCTCATTATCTAAGTTTCTAATATAAAATTCTAAATTTGAAGTGGCTGAGCACTCCACAGCAAGACCACACATACCATGTAACAACTCTGCTTCAAACATTGAATATAGCTTCCTCGTATAAACTAAAGCTCCTTGCCTCAACACAGGAAACTTTTTTACAGCGGGGACAATTGCAGACTGTTTAGATTTAAAATCTTCATCCCTCTCATTCCTTCTCCAAGCTCTCATGACATTTTCAAGACCCAAGAAACTCTCAGTGAGGGTGCTTGTTGGCTTAGAGGCATTATGACAAATGTTATTCGTCGACTCACTCCTTTGTGTTGAAAGGATCCCCATCCCAAATATGTCCTTGTTGAAAGCTGTTGACCACTTATGTCTGATATTGTACAAGCTAATCAACCAAGCATTCTCATATAGATTTCCTAACACAATCATTGTATGCCAAGTTTCTTCGAACTCCTCCTCAGAGTTACACCTATGTGTGCGGAAGACACTCTTCAATGACTCTGACCATTGCTTGATCCTGATAAGTGAATATTGTCATCGGGTGCTTGTTGTCCATAATCCGAATAAATGACTTGAATAGCCACTTGAATGATTCAACTGTTTTATCTGACAAAAAGCCAACTCCAAATAGAACGTTCTGCCAGTGGTGGTTCACACCAACAATAGGAGCACAACATAAATTGTATTTATTTAATCTATAACTTGTGTCAAAAATTATGACATCCCCAAAGCAATCATAATCAAGTCTGGATATCCCATCACTCCAAAAGAAATTCAATAAACTACCAGACTCATCAATTTGGACGTCCCATGCAAACATTGTGTCCTCTGCTTGCCTCTCAGTGAACAATCTAAGTAGAGAATTAGCGTCCCCATTTTCAATTATACTCTTTCTCTCTCTTTGTATGAAATTATAAGCATCTCTCTTCGTGCAATCAAGATTTTCAACACCCCCAATCCAAATTCTGTAGCCAGAAAACTGAAGGCATCGCTTGTTCTGATCCCTGATTTTGTCATCGATCTGAGCACTTGTGCACTGACATCACCCATTTTTCTGCTAGAACGCAATAGATGTTTGTCACCGTCTGCCGCCAAAGGATGGTTATGAGTTTCTATAAATTTCTTAACTGACCAGTTACCTTCTACATCGACGACATATCGGATCATGGCTGGACAACCAGTCCTCCAGCCTTGCCACAAATGAAATCCTTTGTCTTAATCATTTTTGAATTAGGCCAAAAACCAACATGGTCCTTTCGCACAGTGAATCCAATATGATGTGCATATGCACAATAATTTTCGTAGGCTTCCTTCTCATTATGAACCACCGCGCGAAGCAAACTATCCGCATTTGGATCAATGCACACAGTTAAAGGCTCGGGGTTCCTGCAACTTTCAAACATTCCACCATTAGATTGACAAAATAACACTTCAATGTAACCAATTAGTAAATACAATCATACTGGTACGTAACGATAAATCAATAACAACATAATACATAATACAATCATAATACCACAACAATAATACCATAATAACACAAAAGTATACTTTAAAAACAAAAATAGAAAAATAGTAGCATAATAAATACTAGCATAAAAAAACCATGATAACACCAATGTAACACTACTTACACCAAACATAACACTTTGTTAAAAATACTAATTAGATACAACAATAAATAACACCATGATATGTAATACAACCATAATACTACAATAATAATACCTTAATAACACACACACTCTTGAAAGCCTATAATGCATAAATACTACCATAATACAATTATAATAACACCATAATAAACCCATGATAATACCTAAATGAGACCCAAATGATATCAGAAAAAATAATATCAACCACAATAATACCAGAAATATAATACCATTACGACAACTTAAACATCGAGCCCAGCAATACTATCATTTGGAAGCCATTAATCGCAGCACACACAACATAAGAAAGAACTCTACCTGAGGAATACTTCCGGACGCAGCTAATGATCCAAGCTGATCACCATCATTCTCAGATTTCATCAATACCTGAGGAATACTTCCGGACACAGCTAATAATCCAAGCTGATCGCCATCATTCTGAGATTCCATCAACATTTCTTGGTCGAATGAGAAATCCATTTAATGTGATGTCGGCACAGAATAAGAACGCTGCCCTACCTGTCGAATACTAACAGACGAGAAAATAAAAAAAATCTACATCCATAAGACACCAATAATTTTTGACGGGATCGAAAATGTCGAAATGCTAGATTTGACGCGATTCCATAAATCCAAATATACACTTTTTTTAGTTATTGGGCGGAGTTCGGGTCGGGTCATGCGTTCTACTTATTTCTCTTCACTGAGGGCCCATCATTATACGTGTTAACTTTTTATTCACTACCATATGTAAAACACATACGATCGTCGGACAGAATAATTTTTCCCCATAGACCCTAAGACAACTGACCGAGACCGAGACCAAGACATCACATCTTTCTTAGCAGGCGTGACTTGTAAATGCGGGATTTACGGCCGAAATTGATGAAAGCAGGATTTATCAAATTCGTGGCTTTATTTTGTTCAAACTGACCGCCGGGCAAGATTTAATTTAAATCCAGTTTAAATCCTGCTCTAAATCGACTGGTTGATTCGCAGGATTTAGGTTAAGTTCTTAAATCCTGCTCAAAGCCTGCTTCGAACCAGTAGTTTACTTATCCCACAAATCTCCGGTCCGCCTCCCGACAAGAAGCTAGGAAGTCGTAATGGGAGTTTGCTGGAGAAGGTGCAACGGGCTCCTGCCGGAGAGGACGTCAACAGCAGTAACGACGTGCGAAAGAACCTGATATTGTTTGAAACGAACCCCTTCAAGCTTCTCAAGGGGGTGTTTGGTATGCTAACTTTCTGTACAGCTAGAATCTCTCCGTAGATCTCGTTTCTTATACTGTTTCTGCTACGGTGGGGATTCTTCTTCGATCTGGTGTTGCTTTAGTTCCTTTCTTTCGTTTGTATTACTTATGCCAAACTTGTTTGGAACTGGATAATATTGGACTTGTTTGGCCGCTTTTTTGGTGCGGCGCGGTGCCAACTTCGCCGCCGCACACTTGTTAAAGTTGGTGGAAAGCGGGCCGCGGGATCGACCCCTTCGCCCCGCTAACGCTCCCCATCGTCTTTTGCCCTAGCGTCCCGCCTGGCGTCTTGCGTCTTCTTCTTCCTCAACCAAGAACGAAACCCGAACCAGGTAATCGTAAACCCTCTTCTTCGCTTGTTTTCAACCTCTTCTCAGCGGCTTTGATTCCGGGTTATAATGCTTGAGAGAAGGTCGAGCTCTTTGTCTGCTCATGGAAGGTAGCTTGATCCGTGAGCTTGTGAGGCACGAATGGAGAGTATTTTGGGGTGCAGGGGATTTTTAGCCACATTACGGTTTAGGGCTCGTGGTGGTGAATCTGCTTTTGAGGAAGATGATATTAAGGAGTAGTTTTCTCAACTATATCTAGTTGTTAGCTTCAATTTACAGCAGGTTTACATGACCTTTTGGTGAAGTTTTTACGCTGCAGTGATAATTTTGATGTTTTTTTTTTGTATTTCGACAATGTGGGGTATCTGCATTTTTTTTAATGAACTCTAGCATGGTAGCCAGTTTCAAATTGGCTTAGAAAATACGGTATTAGTAAGTTTTGGAAGGAGATAGACAATCTGCTTCTGTGCCTAATTGGTTCAATGCTAATGTGATTAGGACACAGGAAATGATTTCTTATTGTAGCAGCTTTTGTTGTTATTTTGGTTTGCATGATGCTATAAAGATGTAATGGCGTGCGGATTATGGTAGGAAGCCAGTGGCATCCTTTTGTTGGCGATGAGAATATCTGTTAGGTGGTTGGATGGGGAATTATGCATGTTTTGATTTGCTTTCAGACAGTATCCCTTTACTTTTTTTGATTGATTTTGTTAAAGGTGGAATGTCTTTTAATTGAATGAGTCACATTGCTTATGACGAAAGTTACTGAGTTACATTGATGATGATTCTAATATTATACAGTTCATATCAATCATATATGCAGATTTTTCAGCAATTTATAAGAATTATGCTATATAGTAACGCTATATATAAAATATGCCTATACATGGATAATTACAGAGCACCTTAATCAAAAAGGGTTATTGCTTTGTAATTATCACATAACGTTTAAGCACTTAGTGCCATATTCTTCACATTTCACACACCTAAACTTCTATATTTAAATTAACACTTTAATGCATTACAAATTTAAATATTTAACTTCTAAGCTTGGTTTTTTGCACTTTCTTTATATTTGTTAGATGTACTATAATGGGCTCATTTTAGGTGATTTACGTATCACTTTTTCCTATTTTCTAATTGATTTTATTGTTGTGTTTCATTGCTTTGTTTTATTATAATAATAAAATGGATAATAAACTTAAAGAGGTTGGTACACTGACATTGTGAGAATAAAAAATGAAAAATAATATTTTGTGACATTTTCCTTAAAGTGATTGAACTGAGAAATAGACCTACGACTTATTTCAATAAGGAAGGGTGACAAAATATTTTCAAAAAATTCAAGGAATGTACGTGCAGGGAGTATGACAGTTTGCAAATGAAGAACAAGTGAGATCAACTTAATAATGATTGGAAAATTTGGAAACTAATAAGTGTTCCAATGCATTTTTGGGATGATTCTCTTATGGTATTTCAGACTGCTTTTGATCTCTTTGAGAATGAACATCAAGTGTTTCTTCTAAATGACATAATTCGCCTCTTCTTTTTAAGAAAAAAATAGTTAGCAATTTACTTTCCTCAAGATAGTCATATTGATCAGATAATGTTAAAATTGTAGATATCAATATGTTATGGTCCAAAAAGGAAAAAAAAAACTGTATTGGCTTGTTCTTTTTCCTACTTTTTTTTTGATCATGAACACAGGCTATTTATTATGCTATTTTGAATGTTTATTTTAGTTATTTGCAATTAAAGTATCATTGTCTTAGTCAACATGCTCCTTGTTAATTAGCTTGAGATTAAAGTAATGTTTTTATTATATGAATGCTCATGAATTTTTTAATTTGCTCAAGATTAAATTTCACAGGCGGAGACGCTGTTAACTTTGATAGATTAGTCACATATCTGAGATGGCAAGTAAAACAGATGGACCTCAGGCAGATGGGGAATGTTCTTATAACAGTAGTTTCGGCCGAACATTCAAATACCTCATGGGTAAGTTTGCAACTTGTTTCATACGCCTTCATTCATGTTATTCTATTACTTTTGTTGATCTTTTGTTTCCTTGCATGCAAGTTCTTTTGCTCAAAATCTTTTGTTTTCTTATTTGGTTTTGCAGCAACTCAGTTTTTGTCAAGATTAATTCCATTTGTTTTCAATACGTGGATTGTGAGACACCTAACTGAAGCTGACTATGCGGTAATAAAAAGCTGATTTCTTAATCCAATTTATCATAATTGTGCGGCGTCTTTGGTTATTAACCTAACTAATAACAATGTATTTGTTAAATGTTTATGAAAAGAATGTTAGGATCTTTGATTAGTTTAAAGGAGGTTTTTTTAGTTTTACATCATATTGCTCAAATTAAAAGTTTTGAGTCTTATGTAATTTAGTCTCACTAAGTCTTAAAAACCTTAAAATGTGAATGAATTGATTCATATATATAGTTTTCTAAGGATTCATGGTCTCAATTTCATTGGTAAAACAAAATCACGTCATCTCAATTCTAAGTTATTGCTCAAACTTCATGTAATTCACTGCTTCTACCTTGAGATCCCATTCACCTCGGTACCCATTCCAAGTTAGTTTTATTTTTATTTATGGTGCATATATCATCCCATTTAAATAAACTATATTTCTATGGTATTGTTCTAGGGCTTTTAGAAGGTGTTTAAAAAGCGGATTTGACTGGGAGGGGTGGGGAAATACTAAGATAATGAAATTATAGGTGATCAATGATATTTGGAGGGAGATACGTGTCGTTCAACGCCTGTCCCTACTGAAAACAACGAGATGAAACATGAAACGACGAGGTACGAGCAACGAGGAGGTTCACCACTTGATCTTGAGCTAGATACAAATACATCATTTGCAAAAGGAATATGATATAACACTCTCCTAAATTAAGAAATCAGAAATTACAATATTCATAATACTCGAAAGAAGGCAACATTCTCAAAAAATAGGACATAACAAGATATATATAGTTCCCTCATACAAAAAACCTAATTAGAAATAGTGAAATAGAAAATATATCGAAAGGAAAGAAAAATTGTGCGAAATTTTAAAAGTCAGCATCATCCTGCTTTGAACCCACGATCACGAGACTTCTCACAATCCCGTGGAATCGCATGATTCACGCACTTCATCGTTGAATTGTTGGATTCCCGCTATCGAAACCATGTGACCTTTGATCCGTGTTGATCCGTGAACTTACGGGACACCCTGAATAGGCGATTCTTCTTCTTCTCTAAGGTTTTTAGAATCAATCCACTACAATCATAACAAATATATTATCTTTCTTTGTTTGATGCAATCCCAGTATAAAATCTATGCTTACATTCATTTCATGCAACTCTAAAACATGTACGTCCTTCCAAAGTTTGTCCGGATAGAATAAATATCCATCATTTTATGGCAAAAGCATAGCTGGAACTGTACATAAATGGGTATTCTTACAAATCAGGTCTTGAGCTATTAAATATGTATTCTTTTTCTCCTATTTGTATGCGGCCGAGCGTATTCGATAAAGAAGCATGTATGGAGAAATCGACCCTGGAATGAACTTTATGACATGTTGGACTGCCATCGGTGACAACCACCCAGGAGGTAAATGGTTAGTCATGATATATGATAACTACATCAATGGGGGTTGTCTGTTTTCAGGTATCGACTTCTCGTAATCACTACCTTATAAGACAATCAATGTTAATGTCGTTGTGATTTCTTGCTTGGGTTCAACTTTGAATCTCTAACATCTCTCCCTTGTCGGTTAGAGATGGAGACTCATCTTTGATGTCTTCATAATTTCCCGTGTCACTATTAATCTCTTGAGTTGCTCTCTGCTTAGTGAAAGAAAGATATAGCCCTTCTCTTTGGGGAGTCAGACGCCACGTGACCAATATCATGATACTAGAAGCATTTGTTGCAGGGGATGAATTTGAGAGTGTTGGTGGGCTTCACCATTTCCACACTCCATATTAGTTCTTCTGGTGAGGTCAGCTTAGATGCTCCACTAGGTGTACTCTGACTGCCCGATCCGATGACTGAACTTTGTTTGAAGTGTCGTATGGATCTGATACTACTATGCAGTCTCTCTGCCATAATTGTTAGGATTTGGACATCTTGTAATATCCAAGAAGGCTGCAACTGTGCCACATTGCTAATAGATGATCTCAGTCCCCCTAGATATCGAGCTTTGGTGTTCTTGTGCTCTACTAGCCTACACTCCAACATAAGCTGTTCGAGCTCTCTTCTACTGAAATTTTGTTGTTGTAAGTGATGAAGTCTCAATAACATATCCTATCTGTAAGAAACTAGTAAATACTTGCATTGCATCTCTCATTTCATCTTGGACCAGAAAGTTATTTTATTTTTCTTTTCTCGTTGTCTAAGACGCTTCAGGTTCTCCTATCATAGTGATGCACTCTTGTTTAACTTGATGATGACAGATTTTATCATTATGTCTTGTGAAACATTCTTATGCTCAGAAACATGTTATATTATTTAGAGCCACTAGATAAACTTGTTTGGATTCATTCGTCTATCCAAAATTCAAAAACTCAATCTTTACTCTAATGTTTTGGACTCTCCTATGATATTCTATGCTAAATATTTGGGTTATTGTTTCTCTGTCACTAAAAATTTTCTGGTGGAAGGAAGTCACTATTCCTTCTCGATCTGGAGAATCTCCGTTAGGTGATCTCATCGGATTTTCTTCTCTCAAAAGTGTCAAACCTCTAGTGCAGTTGGAGAATTTTTTGTTGCATATCTTTCATAGTAAGTTTCTGGACACATCGTTGAGGGTTTCTTCTTGACGACTTGGCATCCCTTTCCCTTGATCAGGTTTCTAACGGAGGTAGGACTGCAAAATCAAGGTTGGCTGGGGGCTCAAATTTAGGTGGCAGGTGTCGGGGTGAAATTTTCTTAGGTAGGAAAGTTGAATTTTGAAAATTTTAATTTTTGGATTAGAAATTATGGTAGTGATGCTTAGGGTATTAAGTTGAACAATGATTTAAGCTATGTGGAATTTTGAGTAGGCGTAGGAATGACAAATCTCTAAAAATTTATGGTTTATTGAGCTCTGATATGAGATGATATTATTCTAGGGCTTCTAAAAATTCCTTGATAAGTGGATTTGACGCGCGCGGGGGCGGGGG